ATCCTTGCACAGGGGCACAATGCTCCTGTCTCACTAGAAAAGAGTTACTTGGACCTCTCCCCATTCCTAACACAACACAGGCCAATAGCCAACTAGACATTCAGACTCACAGTTGAATATTGAATAGAAGGGAGCAGCAGACACAAAATTTCAGGCCCTGGTTTTATGTGCCTTTAATACTTTTTTCCTTTCTGCTGTGTTCACTAAACAAGAATATTTTCTGAAGGCTACTTTTTGTAGCTTTTTGTTTTCCCTTTGCATTTATCATGTTTTTAGTTTCTTCTCTGAGGAGCAATTCTCTGAATCTGTGTCTTCCAACTCAACTCGGTACCTTTTGAGGCCACTGTGGCCATGAACAGCCCTGCTGCTGTCTGTGGCTGAGGTGTCAGTGGGATCCTCTCTTGTTCCAGCATTGGGGGTTTCACAGGCCATTTCAGACCCACAACAATCTTTGTGTAAGAGAGTTCCTGTCAGGGGTGAGTTATCATGGTCAGTGTCTGAGTGTCCTGGGGAAGAGCAGGCTACTACCTCCAGCTCCCCAAAGTTCTGCCCATTGTTGTGGGGATGAAGGGGCTGGGGGTGTAAGCATCCATTGTTGTGGTTGGCACAGATGGTTTCTAGGTTCCTCTCCTCACTGTCATCAGACTGGGTCCTAGAACAGTTGCCAGATCCACTGCTGAGAGTGGAGCCAGATGCCTTGGGGACAGGGGGAGAAGGTGGCTCTTCAGCCCGGCTGCTCAGGGCCTTTCCATTGAGCTTCTTTGTTTCAAAAGAGCTACAGAGCTACCATTGCTGGTGTCCTGAGAGGTGCCCTCTGGCGCCAGAGGGCCTCTGCCCAAGGGTGACTGCTGTGCTCATGGCCTGGGCCACTGCTGGGATTTCTAGTGGACATCCCTTCTTTACTTGCATCTTTGGTGCAGCCTTCTGGGGGCAGGTCCTGATTCCTCTGGCCCAAGGCTGTGTTCAGAGAGTCTTCCTTACTAGAAGAAGGGGCAGGGTTTTCCTTGTGGCTGGTTCCTGCTCTCTCTTCATCTGCCTCCCCAGCTACTAAGGAGGCCTCTCCATCTTTGTTATTTGAGTAGAAGATGTAGGAGTAATGGAGCCACTTGTAAGCTTTATAAATCTTTCGCCCAACTGATTCTATGTCTGAGGTTGGTGACCCCCGGCTCGGCTGAATCTCTAGGACGGAAGTGCTTCGCTCAGGGGAGGAGGCTGGAGAGGAAGAGAGATCATCTACTTTGATCTGAGGGTAGTCGCAATTGTCCTCGCCAAAGTAGGTGCTGGTGGGCTTGGTGGGCACACCAGGCCTCTCCTCCCGAAGCGTCTTCTGCCTCCTCCGTGCAGCGTTCCGCGGCCTAGTGGAGGTGCGGCACTCATTCAGCTCCTCCTCGTCCTCGGAGCTGCTGGAGCTGCTGGAGCTGCTGGACTCATCCTCAGGGCTGGGCGAGCAGGGCTGGGGGAAGAGGTCTGTGTCCAGCTCGACCTCACAGGCGTTCTCCTCTGAATCTGACTCATTGGACAGGGCTAAAAGGCGTTTGTCCTGGTCACGCCGCAGAGCTGAGAGGCGCTGTTGGCAAGAGGCAGAGTCCTCACAGGAAGGGGCTGGTGGAGTGGACGCTGCTGCAGGTGTGGCGGTGACACGCAGGGGCCCCAGGTGGAAGGCACTGTCGGCTTCATCCACGGTGGGGGGTGGAGAGGGGGGCAGCGAGGCCGAGGATTCCGAGTCAGTGTAGCCGGAGCGCTCACTGACCTGTGCGTGCAGCTGAAGGATGGTGCTCTCACTGAGGTCACTGTCCGAGTCTGAGCTCCAGCCCTCGATCTCTCGGCGGACCGGGAGTCAAAGAATGCCATCATCCGGGGGTCCTCCTGGACAGACTGATTGGCGTAGTCATGGGACAGGCCGCTCCCACTGTTCAGCACCAGGCTGATATACTCTTCATGGGTGTAGAGGCAGCGGGAATCATCCTTAATGCGGCCGTCGAGGTCTCCGGTACATCCTGGCTGTTTGTATGGGCTCCAGATCTTGATAATCTTTTCTACACCAGAAGAGCAGATCATGTAGGTGTGGGGATTAAATCGGACCTGGTTAACAATAGATCGTTGCCCTTTCAGCACCATGAAGGCTCCATTGACCACCCTGCGAATGCCACCTGCTTCTGGGTCTGCAGGGATTCTCCACATGTACAGGTTGAAGTCATCAGAGCCTGAAAGGATATACTGGTCACAATCTCCTGAGAAGCAGCAGCTTTTCATGGTGCATGAATTAAAGTAACCCTGATTGTCAAACTGGAACACAGGCAGGCGGGAGTGGATGTCATATAGCACAGGAGACAGGCGATGCCTCAGGACCAAAAGTTGGGTCCCGTTGCTGTTGAATCGGATACTCATGGCCCTTTGGAGGGACAGATTGCCACCGTAGAGCAGGAGAGGACTCTGAGGTTTTCGAATATCCCAAAGTCCTACTCCTTCCTTTGAATTGGCTGTGGCCAATAACCTGGGCTCCACAGGGTTAAACATGACACTGTGAAAGGCTGAAGGATAGTTTGCCAGGCAGAAAGGCTCTCCGTGAGGAGACTCCCGGATGTCCCAAATGAGAACTCGACCATCATCTGAAGAGCTGGCAAAAATGTTGTCATTTACTGGGCTCACCGACAAGCCATATACTGCATCTTCATGAGCAAACACATCCAAGGTCTCGCTGCTTTCAACATCATGGAGGATAACTTGTTCATCATTTCCTCCAGAAAATATTTTGGTGTTCCCACTGTTGAAAGCCAAGCAAAAAACATTGGAATGGTGCTCTCCTTTCAGCTGTATGGGCTTGACCCTAGAATGGATGGCTTGTTCCATGTGCCACAGCAAAACCCGGCGGTCGTCTCCTCCTGAGACCAGCCACTGGCCTCCATTGTTGGAGAATTCAATGGCATTGACACAGCCGAAGTGGCCCAGGAGGTCCTTCTTCTAGAGGTTTCTGCAGCCCCGCAGGCATCTCCTCTGAAAGTCCTGAGTGAGCAGGAGGTCCCCATGCAAGCCCCGCTGGGACAAGAAGCCCACCACTGACCTCATGCTGCCCCCCAGGCCAGCTCTCCTCTTCATGCTCACGGCTGCGGCTCCCGCCTGCCCTCCCCCCGCGATGTGCGGCTCTCCGGATGGTGCCCTAGCCAGCCATGGCAAAGCAGCGAGGTGTCCATTATTTACATTTGATACATGGTATATTTCAAAATAAAATAATTTTAGGGCAATAAGGTAAAGATTCTATAGGGGTATACATGTGTATGAATGTGTTATGTTCCATGAAGAATAACAATAGGATTTCTTAGTGGGAAAATGTTACTAACACTTCAATAGATTCACTAAATTCTCCAATATGGTTTTTTTTTGGTTTTTGGGGGGTTTTTTGGTACCGGGGATCGAACTCAGGTCCTTGCACTTGCACAGCAGGCGGCGAAACCACTGAGCTAAATCCCCGGCCCTAAATTCTCCAATATGATTGGCTGGTTAGGAGAGGAACTTGAATCAACTATAAGTTTACCATAAAATTTAGATTTTTATGTTTCTACTAAATATATGCTTGGAAAATGTTATCACATCCCTTATGTAATCTATCAATGGAACTATTCCTTCTCAGTCTGTCTTGCTTACATTTCATTTGGTAAAAGAGAAAGAAATTCGCAATTTTTTAAGGATAACAATCCAATTGAAACATTCATATTCTTTTCTTAACTTTTATTTTTTTAGCCTTTATATCTTACCTATATCTTCCTTCAATGGAATCAAAAGAAGAAAATTGTACCAAAATCTAAAGCCATTTTATTTCTGACACTGTGAAATACTAAAAATGAAAAAATAAACTTGTTTGATTGTTTATACCATTTATATTAATGGAATTAAAACTAGGACCACTTCTCCATATATTAAACATAACACAGAGTTAAAGATCTAGAAGAGGGTGGGGATTTAGCTCAGTGGCGCCGTGCCTGCCTGGCAAGCGCAAGGTCCTGAGTCCGATCCCCAGTACTCCCCCAACCCTCCTCCAAAAAAAGATCTAGAAGAAACCTCCAGAAATTATCTAGTATAGCTATCTTCAAGTAGGACTCAATCTCAGGCAAATAAGTTATCATCTTAATCTTAACATATCTCCTGAAAAAAATTATAGCATCCTTTCCCACTAAACAACCTGAAATATTTTTTTTTGGTCTCAGAACCCTTTTTTTGTGGGGGGTGCGGGTACTGGGGATCGAACTCGGGTAAACCACTGAGCTAAATCCCCGGCCCTCAGAACCCTTTTAATACAATGCTATCATACAGTAAACATTATTATGCAGAAAAAGCCAGTTAATGGTGGGATTTTTCTAGGCACAAGGGGGCCCTAGTAAGTACCCAACTAACTCTAAGTCTCTGTACAAACAGCAAAATAAAGAACTCAAGAGTGCTGCCTGTTCAGCCCCAGTGGCTGCAACCTTACCTACCCACTATCTTTCCCCAGTGATCTGGTCTCGAAGCTTATATCTCTTGACATACATGAGAACTGATGATAAATTTGTTTGATTAACTATGACTTGGGTTACTCTACAAACTTCTTCTTTTCCAACCTCTTTGTATCCTATTACTCCAGTAATCAAGAGCTGAGTTGTATACTTCTGCTGAGTATGAATAGACACTTAAATATTGCACAGTCCTAAAAATATGTAATTTATAAATGAAAAGAAGAAACCCCTAAATTTTCTAATGTATGGATGACTCTAATAAAATAAATAAATTGGAGAATCTTTTTTTCCCTCTAGTCATGGACAATTTCATCTAACAACATATATTTCTTCCTTGAAGACTGTACTTTTTTTAGCTAAAAATTCCTTGACATCAGGGACTAGTTCTGTTTCAGCTTTTATACCTGGTACGCTCCATTGGACTTTGTTACTGTGACATGACCTGTATATGAACTGAAAAATGTCAATTGTATTTAACTAAACCAATGGAGGATCACTAAAACTTGGCCTTACTTGATTGTTGCATTCCTCCTCTTCCTCATCGCAGTCTAGGCCCTGATGAACAATCTCAGTAGTGCTGTTCTCCAGAAAGAGGTTATTCTCCAAATCAGACACTCTGGAGGCCTCCGTTGTGACTTTCACTTTCATGCTATGAAAGCCAGTGGAGACCAATCCCACTTGCAGGTTGACAGGCTCCCCCTCAAACAGCAGTAAGTGTGAGTTCACTTCTTCTTTAAAACCAGGGGGTTGGTAGTCATGTGGGGTCACTGCAAAACAAAAAGTGCAGAAAGCCATAACAATTATTTTCAATAGAATAGATCCAATTAATATTTCATATGTAGCAACAAACACTTTTTTTTTGGAGACACGGTCTCATTATGTAGTTCAGACTGGTCTTGAACTCACTATGTAGCCTAGGCTGGCCTTGAATGAAATGATCCTCCTGCCACAGCCTCCCAAGTGCTGGGATTACAAGCGGGCACTACCATGGCTGGCCCAGCAACAGACATTTTTTAGATCCTTGCAAAATCCTATTTATATAAAATATTAGTTGAGCACTTAAAGAAGGAACTTGACTAAAGATCTCCACTTACCTTCCTTATAGTAATGGAGTTTCATAGTAAGTATAACATCATTAGGAAGAGGTCCAAGGTTTTGCATCAATACGTACAATTTACGAATCAGTAAAACACTGGCTTTCTTAATATCTTCACTGTTTGTCCCACTTTCAAAGCTTGTACTAGTACTGTAATCACATAGAAAAATAGCATACTTTATAATCATATATAATATTGGCAATCTACTTTGAAAAGAATAAAACTGTTAACTATACAGTCAAGTAAATATAAATTAAATACCAGGACATTTTTGAGACAATTTTTAGAATGTAAATTAAGGAAGTGATTGTACTTTTGCATTGCATACACAAAGGATTTGTAAATAGCAAGTTCCTCTAAAGTATTTAAAAATGACCTTTTAAAAAATTTTGGTTTACAAATAACCACATGCCATAATAATGAGAACAATGGATTTGCAATTACATGACCTGGCATGTAATATCAGCTCTGCAGTTAACTACCTGAATGACCTCGGTCAAGACATTTAGACACTCTAAGTTGGTCAGCTCATTTGTGAGATAAACTTACAGACATTTCTTTAGTACTCCAAACATAAAATGACCTCCTAGTTCTGTGCCTATCCACCTTCTGGTTATCTCTCAAAAGCCTCCGCTCCTCTCTATTCTATGGATACCTGCTTTTCTTCTTGCCCACATGGCAAAACATTCTCCACACCACCAAAATAATATTCTTCATAGGAATATCTGTTCATATCACCTTTTTGCTTAAAATTCTTCTGTTACATTCACCATCTTTCTTTTTTGTTGTTGTTTTGTGTTTTTTTGGTACCAGGGATCGAACTTGTGTCCTTCTACTTGCGAGGCAGGTGGTGGAACCACTGAGCTAAATCCCTGGCCCTCACCATCTTTCAAATACAAACACGGTATGTGTACAATATTTTTCAAGTCCAGCCAGCCCTTACCTCCACCTTCACCTGCAAACACTGAATTTCCCCTCAACCATGTGCATTTGTATATGCTGCTCACTTCATTTTTATTGTGCCTTTCCAATTCTCTTCTAGACTCTCCTACCTCATCCTCCAATACCTAACTCATGTGCTTATTCTTCAAGGAAGCATTGCTATTATCCCTGGACCAGATTTGCTCTCAGGAGGACTGTTTGTCCCCTCTAGAGTGTGAAGTGGCTCTTTTATCTCCACAATACTGAGTTTGGTATCCAGCTACTCAATAAACCTTTACTGAATTAATGAATGATCAAAAAAGTTTGACTAGGGTTTTTTTTAATAAAATGGAGTACTACTCAGCCATAAAGAATGAGAAACTAGAGACATTTATAGTTAAATGGATGCACATTAAGACCATACTCTTAAGTGAAATAAATAGGACACACATGTGTAAATACCAAATAGTTTCTTTGGTGTGAGAAACTGAAAGTGTAAATAAGGATCAAAATGTATAATAGATAATGTGAAATAGGAAGAAAAGGTCCAAAGAGGAAGGGGAAGTGGGAGGGGTAGGGGAGAGGAAAGAAGGGAAAGGAATAAATATGAGAAAAGAAAAAAATGGAAACAAAAGTCTTTGTAAATAGGGAGGGGTGGAGGGGTTGAAGGGAGGGCAGAGGAATGGGGAAAAAAAATAAAAACCAAGATATATCATGTAAAGATACAAATTCCCAATAATGAATGTCAGCATATTGTGTACCTAAAATGTACCAATTAAATTAATGAATGAAAAAAGAAGTTGGACTAAATTACCTTCTAACTCTGAATGATTGTTATTTCTCTCCAAAATTTTCTTCCCCAATTAGTCTCACATTTGAGTAGTTTTCAGGAAGAGCTTGACAGAAATGTATTCGCACAGTGCGTTGCACATAATAAGCAGTACTGAAAAATAATCCTAAGTAGTTGAACTGTTGGGGCTTTTTCCCTAAGTAATCTTTGGAGGCAGTGTGAGTTCATAAACCAAATATTTATTAAGTAAACACATTAGTTCCTCTATCAATTTCAAACAATTTAAAGTTTTGTCCACCAGGATTTAACCAATTTGAACATACTTAACAAAGTAAAGGACTCTAAAGTCATGTAGCTCATGGAATCCTCCAGGACACATCAGTAAAATCATATTCAGGACTCCTATTTAAATAAATGCTCAACTTTTCTAAGAAATTGAAATATGCATTACTTTCTCCTCTCTTTGGTGTCTGAAAGATGTGGTCATTTCCATTTTATTGAAAACATGTATGACATGTGCTATATAATCTGTAAAGTGCTATACAAATATTAGTTAATAATGGCTAATATTTCGATCCTCATTTCTGGTACTGACTTTTTCTTCAATTTGAGTATATCTGTAAGTTTAGAAATAAGAGGATAACTAAGTAAGTGAGACTTAGAGAAAAATCCTCAGGCTCTCCAAAGTTAATAGTGAAAAGGGAGAATTTTGCCACACTTTTTTTTAGGCCTGTACCTTCCAGGAGCATCCATCTCCATTCCTTGGAGCCCTCTCCTAACCAGGGCTTTCCATCACCACTGCATCTTCCACTTCTATTCCATCTCATCAGCGATACTTAGACCTTTATATCTCCTAGCTAATCTGAAGCCAAAAGCTACTGAGAGAGAAATACGTAACACACGTCCTGATCTGCACTGGGGCCCTTCTGAAGCACATGTCTTTGTCTTTGCTATTTAACCCATTAGTGTTTCTAATACTTGGAGTTTCAACTTAATAGGAAAATATAGTACTTTCTAGTCTTTTCCATACAGAAACATACATAGAAAATGCTATTTATGTGACATTGTGGGGCAAGCAGATGAGAATATTTGTTTATGCAGACAAATAGTACAAGGGCTTTATCTAGCCCAGAGCTGGTGTGGCTATATTGAGGGAAGAGAGGATAAGTAGCTCACCATAATAATTGAGAAACTTTAAGTAATGGCTAGACAGTTTTATGGAGTTCTTCAATCAAATTGTGTACATAGAATTACTGATATGATTTCTACTACCACGATGCTCATTGTTGCCTCTACTCCCATCAGCTTAATCCATGGATTCCAGAAATTCAAACAATTATCATAGTCCCTTTTTATACTAGTGGAGTTTTGTAGGGTTTATGGAGAAATAACAAAAGCCAGGTAAGACTTTTCTCTGGCCTATGGAAGCTTGTGTTTATCTTACTTCTGTATATTTCTTATGTTCATTAAACAAGTAGATTTTACCTGTCAAAATCCATAGTGGCTCCTTCTTTTGTGTATTTGAATTTAAACTGATATATCTCAGTAACATTCTAGAATGACCAAAGGGAATAAAGAAATTAATTCTAAAAAAGAAATCCAGAATTTTGCCTGATAATAAGGAACATTGTGTAACTACTGTGCTTCCTACGTACCTGTTTGTCTCACAGCATTCCATAATTCAGAATTAATATTTACAGATATAAAGATAACCTAATTTTCCACTTTATGCTAAAAATGGGTTAGATGGCAAATAATACAATACAATTATCATTAAAGCTGGAGAAAGTGAGGCACAGAGTCAAGTATCTAACCTAACTAGGTAAATAACAGTATAACTAGTTGAGAAAACATCCATCCATGTAATAATATTTTATTTCTATTTTGTGACAGGCACTGGAGCCACGGGGGTGAACAAGACAGGAAAGATCTTTGTTTTTCTGGAATTTTTAGTCTGGTTAGGGAAATGGTCAATAAGTAAGTAAATTAAAAAAATAAGGGGCCCGGGGATTTAGCTCAGTGGTTCCACCTCCTGCCTCGCAAGCGCAAATTCCCAAGTTTGATCCCTGGTACAAAAAAAAAAAAAAGAAAAATTCAGATAGTATGAATGCAATGAACAATATGAAACAGATGTTATGATAAGGTACATGAAGGGAAGAAATGCTGATTTGGTTTGGAAGGGCCAAGGAAGACCTCCCTAAAGAAGTGACGCTTGAGCTGTGCCTCAAGAGGGGCCAGTCATGTGCAGACCTGGGTGTGCAGTGCCCCAGGCAGAGGGAATAGAGGCTCTGAGGTCATAAGAGACGCCTCTTTTAGTATCCAAGAGGAGGCTAAGTGACTGGAGATGAGCAAACAAGAGGGAGAATATCAGAGATGAAGTTACAGAGGGCATCACAGGGCCAAGGCACAGGGTCTGAATTTTATACTAAATAAACTAGAAGTCTATTGAAGGATTTTAAGCAGGGGGGTGAGTTGCATTTTTTAAGCTCACCCTAACTACCTTGCAGTACTGAGGGAAAATGTGGAAATCATGAGAGCAGTTAGGCTACTTCAGTAATCCAGAAAGATGACAGTGGCAATGGGAAAATTTTTTAAATTAAAAAAAGAACAAGGATCTGAGGCATTAAGTTTTGTTTTTTAAAATCCTGCACTAAAAGCTAGATTCTACTGCTATCTGCTGTCCTCACCGTTATGAAAGCTAGAAATAAAGAGGAACAAAATTTCCTCATAAGAGACATATTCCATTTAAAATAAAATGCTTATCTACTAGTGGAAGCAAACACTGACCCAAATATATTATACATCTGTCCACAGAGCTGGAGAAGGTACTAAAGGCAGGTAAAGGGTATGAGTTTTAGTCAGAAAACACACACACACACACACACACACACACACACACACACCTTTCATTTCTCTAGTTCAGTATTTGATCCATGACAATGTGGGACTGAGGATATTATATTTATCAGAAAAAGTCTCAATGTTTCTGTTACTTTAAGATTTGGTCTCCCAGCTCTGCTGATCTTGTACCTCAACATACAACATAATCATAGGTGATGAAGTCCTGGAAAAATTGGCTCATGCTGCTTAAACTCAGGAGGCTGATTTGTAATGGAGTTAATTTTAAAAGAGAAAAATATTTTTCTAACTTGTCAGTCTATTTGAGAAATCAAGTGAAGTTCAGATTTTCTGCTCATAATTGCTTTGCAAATACAATATGAGAGATGGGTAAGATTAGAGGTGCCTAACAGCAACAGGTTCACTCCAGACAGGATAGATACATAGTGCCCTCTCTTAGCCAATGCTGGGTGTAATTGCCCTGTCAAGTAAACAATCCCTATTCTTCCTGCCTGTCCTTGTTTCTCAGTGAACTTAGTTTCTTTCCTTTTTTTTTTTTTTTTGAACTTAGTTTCTTGATGCTGTGAGCATACATTTTTAAATAAAAGATACCTTTTAGTAGTTGATAATTTTACTTTATTATTTGATCCGACATAACTAATAAAAAAGTTATGTTTACAATTGTTTTACAGAAGATCCTAATTCTTAGCAACTTTAAACTGACTGATCTATCAAATAAAGTATATTTATAGAAGACACCAGTGTATTCTTTATAACTTATTTGATGTTCTCTCACTTTTCAGGCTGTGTTACCTAACAAAGATGAGTCTTTAAACTGTACGTTAATGGTTTCTATCAACCATTCTGAGCTAATTCACACAGACCAAAGCAACAGAAGCATGTGCAGGCTTTCCTTTTTCTTCCATATTCTTACTCACTGACAAGACTTTTCAGATATATCTCCAAAGCGAATTGCAAGCTCATTGGCTATTCATTCTTTGTTGAATAGCCAAGAGTTTTGGAAAATACAAATCAGACCACATCACTCCTTTGCTTAACACCCACCTCCATGGCTGCCCTTAGAATAAAATCCAAGAGTCACGTAGGTCCACAAGACCCTACTCATCTATCCCTTGCCTACCTCTCCTGATACTTCCCTCCCACTTACTAAGCACCAGGTTCATAGCACTTCTTCTTTCCATAAACATTCAAAATTCCTTCCTCTTAGGGCATTTGGACAGCTATACTCTGGAACATACTGTCTCTGGTTGATATTAATAATGACAATATTGAAGTACTCCCCTAATTGCTTTTTATCAATTCATTTGTTTAATCAGCACTCCAAAGTATGTATTATTATTCTCATTATTGTGGAAACTAGTACATGGTAGAGCTGAGATTTGAGACCTATGTTAACTATAGTGTTATTCTGCCTGTCACATGTCATTGTCTTTCCCAGGCCTACGAAGGCTGGCCAGTCAGTTTCAGTTCAATCAGTAGCACTGCAGGGAGGCTTTCTTTGGACTGCCAATCTAACACAGTCATCCAGTCCCTCCTTCTCCATTCTCTACCTCAGCACTGACAAACACACTACCTTTTCTAAAGTTTTCTTCATAGCTTTTGATTTTCTGAAATTTGTTTTTGCTATTTTTGTTTATTTATTTATTATTGTTTATTCTCCCTCATAAGAATGTAAATTTCTGGCCCAGGGATTTAGCTCAGTGGTTCTGCCACCTGCCTCGCAAGCACAAGGTCCCAAGTTCGATCCCTACTATCAAAAAAGAAAAGAATGTAGGGCTGGGGATTTAGCTCAGTGGTTCCGTGGCTTGCCTTGCAAGCGCAAGGACCCGAGTTCGATCCCTGGTACCAAAAAAAAAAAAAGAATGTAAATTTCTAGAGGCCAAATTATCCTTGTACTTTTATACCTTGAAGAGTTCTAAGCACATACCAGAAACCTAATTAGTATTTCCTGAGGAAATATTCACCCAAAATTTTTTAAAGTCTCTAAAATGATGTTATGCCTAGAAACAGGGACTACCTACGGTTCAGCTCCTGAAGAAGCTATTCAAAGTGGGTATTTACCACCTCCAATAAGCACAAAAGAATAGATGATGAAACCGTAAGATTTGTGTCCTCATGATATATATAGATAAAGTAATTCTTTAAGGTCTATCAAAAATATAAGGCCTTGCCAGGGATTTAGCTCAGTGGTGCCATGCCTGGCTCACAAGTACAAGCTCCTGAGTTCTATCCCTGGTACTGGGAAAAAAAAAAAAAAAAATATATATATATATATATATATATATATATATATGGTGTTTCTTTAATATATTAACATTCAACTGACACATCTTATTAATACTCACCACACATTTTGTAGTGTATTCCTGTATAATAACTATCACTCTTCATCACTTTAGCTGCTTTTGTCAATTCATCTCTTTCAAGAGATAGAGCAACCAGAACAAGACTTCAAGTGCAAAAGTGCCATAACTTTGTGCAGTGCCTAAGACTCTGTTGGCCTCTGAACTAGGAAAGCAGATGTTCTCAACTGTTGTTTCATAATATACTCTTCACAAGAGTGCTGCTGGGGTGGGGGTAAAAGGAATCAAGATGTGTTGTGTTATGTACATGTACCAGCTTCCCACAATGAATGTAATCATTATGTACTACAAACATGTACTAATAAAAATAAAAATTTGGAAAAAAGGAGAGCTGCAAATTTTAATCCTAGCGCAAAGAATATTTTTGCTTCAGGTAAACATAAACATTGTTATTGTTTGTGCAATTTTGTTTAGGAAAGGATATACTTCTAGGGATATGACTCAAGTGTTTGGCACAATATCAGATAAATGCCAAAGACTATGTTTATGTGAGAAATGTTGTTTTGTGAGTACATAAGAGAATGTGATCAGGGAACTAAACAGATATATTAGTGACTTAATGCTAAACAGCAATCATAAAACTGTAAACTTGTGGATGCTTTTAGGCACTATAAACATTAATATACCACAGTAGAGTTATATTGTAAATATTGTTGAATTAATTGTTCTTTTGTGTGTTTTAATATACTCAACCATGCTGCCAAATTTTTTGGTAATCAAAAGCAGGCCAAGAACACCTAGTAGTTCAGGCTCACTACTGTAGGGAACAATCTAAAACATTCAAAGTATTTTTCTAAGATCATAAATGACAGCTCAGAAGTTACCACATAATAACTTGTTTCCTAACTTCATTAAGATTCATTTAACAGTTTTCTATAAGATCTTTCTATAGTTAAGCCTAAATTGCTCAGCATTTCACTACCCGAAAACCCACTGATTTCAAACTAGAAGTTTTCCATACATAAGAAAATATAATAATAACTGCACCAAGAAAACAGACAATTTATCAGGAAATTTCAGTTTAAGAAATTTGCCCTCCAATCTTTTGGAAAAGGGTATCTTGAAGCTAAATACAAGACAAAAATATAGAAAGGTAAAACTAGTTTGGGCATTGAGGGATTGCTGTCCATCTGTATATAGTAGTTTTCTTCCCCCTTGTCTGCACAGCTATTTATAGTCTTACAAAGAGGATATTAAGGACTAAAAACAATTTAGCCTTAAATGCTACCAGTTGAAATAAATCCATTGGCTTAGAGAAGGAAGACTGAAAGGAAAAAGGAAAGAAAGCTAGGAGGAAAACAATGAAAACAGAGGGCTTCTTCCAGCTCTGTACCACAGCCACAGAAGCCATTCAAAGTGGCACAAGTAAACTATTAGGTTACCAGGACTATAACACTGACGTTGGGACATAGAAAACAAAAGACCTCTGTCCTCGAGAATTCAGTCTACTGGGGGAAATAATGTAATCTACATGAATCACTTGAGAGTGTTAAATTGTGAGGGTCTGCTGGAAAAGGGAAAGAAAGGAGTTTAGTGTAGACAGACTAGCTAAGAGACACTGTAAAAGACTTGAATACAAGTTGCCCTTGGGGATGAGTAGGATTCACTACACAACGGAAAAATCTAGAGAGAGGGGGAGAGAGGTGAGGGGAGAGAAGTAAAGAGATAAAACTGAAAAAATCTATGAAAAGGTCAAACTGGTCATGGTGGTCCTTTCCTGTGATTCTAGACACTTGGGAGGCTGAAGTAGGAAGATCCCAAGTTTGAGGCCAGCCTGGACAACTTAGTAAGAATTTGTCTCAAAATAAAAAGTTGGGGAGAGGTAGCTCAATAGTTGAATCTTTGCCTGGCATGTGTGAATCCCTGTGTTCAATCTCCAGTACTACCAAAAAAAGGAAAAAGATCAAAAGGGGAAATTTTAATTATTAAAAAAAGATTAGAATTATGCCTTATCTCATTTATTTTTCCAAAAAGTCATAAACAAAGAATTCAGAATCAGTTACAATAAATAATAAAATGTACATAAAATATTTATACCTTAATTGAGTCTTAATTTTAACAAGTTAGGTAAATAGGTTCAATTTTACTCAATACATTTTTTCTAATACCCCTAGATAGTTTTTGAAAATTTCAAAAGAAAGGATTGGTCACATTTATAACCAAGTATACTGAAAGAATTCATTATGGGTTACTCTGTTCATAAGGTAATCTAGTAACACAATCTATAGCATCAACTCATGCAAAGATATTTGAATATAATGTACATATACCACCCATTTATATGTGTCTTCTTACCTCAGGTTCCTTGGGATTTGTATAAAGCTGTTTAAAGGAAAAATAAATAGCATTTATTTTCTGAAATTTACTAGATTATTCCTCATGATGTATATTTTCCATATAAACAGTTTAATTTGTGCTCTATTAATTGAATATTTTGTTGACATATACTTTAAACTAGAGATAGAATAAGCTCTTATTTTGTGAATATGGAGTTTTTAGAACATTCCATGAACACTGAATATAAGCAAATTATAAGAAATATAAAATATGTATAATTATGGTGACTGAGTTACAAATAAATTGTAAATAATTTGTTATGATTTAATTTTTAATTAAATAATATATCTAAGACCCTTAGCATCTTTTCATTTTTTTCTATTCTTAACTATATATACCATATTATATCTAGGGGCATGCAAAACTTCCCAGAAAAACTACAAAATTTTTTTAAAATACAACTTTAAGTCTGTAAAGTAACTAAAAAAAAAATAAATACTGAAATTCTGAGGGCCAACAAATGAAGCTGGGCCTAGTGGCACAGGCCTATAATTCCAACACTCTGAGAGACTGAGGCAGGAGGATTAAAAGTTCCAGCTCAGCCTGAGTAATTTAGCAATTTAGTGAGATCCTGTCTCAAAATAAAAAAAATTAAAATGGACTGAGGATGTAGCTCAGCACAAAGACCTTAGGTTCCATCCCTGGTACCACAAAAACATTAATTAAACATAAATGAATAAAATAAAATACAGACTTTTTTGAGATATTGAGGGAAATGCTCTACCACTGAGCTATACACCTAACCCTAGATTTTTTTAAAATTCCTAATATCAAAAGAAAGATAAAGAAAGGGAGGGAGGAAGAGAATAGTATTTAAATATTTCACTTGCCAAAAGTCAGTGCAGTAGAGATAGAGGCTTAGTCTTGAAGTGTATACTTACTAAAAGTACTGCCATGTGTAGCTTCAAGAGAAAAGAAAACTATTGTTGCTATATATTCACACTTATATTATTGTTATTTCTAATAGAGGCTAATTAAAATATTATTTCAGAGAGGGTACAAAGAATTGCTGGAGGAAAAAGATATACAAAATCATTTATTATTGCTAAGAATAAAATATACTATAAGTACATCCAAAAAGTGTTCTTTTTGAAACTAATCTACTAAAGTAAAAATCTAAATTTGATGTCTATAAAACTCCTCCCTCTACATATACACTACTATAAAGATATTATCTCTGATTAAAAGAGTAATAGAATATATAGACATAGAAATATAAGCAAGTTTATGACAGAGTTTTCAAAAACCTAGAATACAAATCAGAAAATTTCAGGTCCATAATTTCATGACAAAGCACTAAAACTTTAGTGACACCATGTGGCTATACTGGTTACTGCATATAATTGATTTTAAAACCACACAATGAAACCCTGATTTATAACAATTAATAACTCATACACGCAAAAAAAGACATGGACCCTGATCTCAGGAAACATAAAGACCAACAGAGAAGACCAACAAAACCAAAAATATGACAGATAACTACATCGTTACAGTCACGTTAATGGCTATGAAGAAGCAGATGGGTGCTATGAGAACACCAAACAAAAGAGCAATATAGGCTGGGAAAAGGGTGTGTCAGGGAAGGCCTTCCCGACCTCAGACTCAAAGATAAACTGGAGTTAGCTTTCCAAAGTATATGGGGTCAGGGAGAAATTTTTCCAGGCAAAAGGAGCAATAAGTGCAAAGGTAAAATGAATTTTGGTATGTTCTAGAATCTATGTGGCTTGAACATAGGAATAAGAATGCTGCCTTGGAAGGCACATGGGATCATACAGGCCTTGAAGATCATATGAAGGACCCTGAACTTTACTTTTAAAGCCCTGGAAATTTTAGGCAAAAGAATGTCCTGATTAGATTGAGGTTTCTTACAGAATGTAGTGGGGACAGTGGGTTTAGAATGATGAGGGACTGAGAGAAGGAATAAGGAGATAAGTTAGGTAACTATAATGATGTAGTATAATTGTGTGATAATTATCTAAAAACTATATTACATACTTAAAGAATTCAAAGATAATATAAAGTACAAGAAAATAATATAAAAATCAACCAAAATTTCATAACTAGAAATAATCAACAGAATATCTTTCAAGATCTCTAGATGCTCAAACTTGATTTACTTAAACTATTTTTAAAATATTATTTCCTACTAGCAACAAGATTACCTGAGAACAGATAAAATATTAACAACTCAAAAAGAGTCTAAGTCATATATCTAAGGTTTTGTCTTTTGATCTTTCCCAAATAGTTAATTCAAATCACACAGGTAGTCATTTACTATAAAATAAGTTCATCAGCTAGCTAAGACACTCTTTGTTACACTGCTCTTCAGTTACATATAATACTGTTACATGTATTTATTTGAGAAGTTACTTTATCTGTTAAATTGTGACCTTCTTACCTTTAGGCTCATTTTTACCTCATCCAGGGACTAGGTCCAATGTCTGGCACATTAGCCAATGGATAAAGAAAGAATAACTGAATGTGATCATTTACATAGTGTTTATTATAAGCCATTGTTCTTTTTGAGCATTTCAGATCAGTGATTCTCAAAATATTGGCCTTAGACCAGAAGTAAGAACATCATTTGAAATTTGTCTGAAATATAAATTCTCACAACAAAAATTTTTGGATTAGGTTTAGCATCTGTGTTTTGACAAGTCCTCCAGGTAACTCAGATACAAACTAAAATTTGAGAACCACCATAGTTTTGAATTATTAATTCATTTAATTCTCAAATAATCCTAAAAGGTAGGTTCTATTATTAACCCCCATTTTTTATGTAAGAAATTAAGGTACTAACAGCTAAGTTACTTGCCCAAAATCACATGGGTATTAAATGACAGAACTGGGATTCACCTCAGACTGTCCGTGTGACTTAAAATTGAGCACTTAATTATATTGCACTGCCCCTCACTGATCAACGCCCAGGAAATGTTGCTAAATAAATGGCTGAAGGAGAATGTTTGGTATGCCAGTGATGACTTGCTCCCTTTTTCAACCTGTCTAAATACTCAGGGTCTTCAAAGCTCAAAATCATTTTCTCTCAAAGACTTCCTTCAGGTCCCTAATTATAACCCCTCCTTTCCCCTACTTCCTATTATGCATGAATTTTTCAGTATCTTTCTTTTGACGTGTATTCCTTCTAATATGAGTTATGGTTACTTAATTTGTTTATAGGGTAGTAGTCAAAATATATCTGGTACTTTTACATAAAAATGCCTACTGATATGAAAAAAAATCAATAAAACCCAATATGGAACAGGTAATGACTGCTCAAAAATTATCCAACTTAGCCCTGGAGCTGGGTTCCTGGAAACATCCCTTGAACTAGGTGTTAACCTTTAATTGCTGGACTTTGGAGATGTCTAGGGATATCTCAAAAGAGACCTTGATGGGGTAAGAGAGAGGATGCTGGTGAGGGTTCATACAGAAATTCAAAATCTCTGCTATTTACCATTAGTGCAGAGGGAACACCAGAATTTTACCAAAAGGTAGTTAGGTCAGTGTATAATCACTGATCATCAGCCCTGCTTATGACTATTTATTTTCTACCATGGTTTATAAGTTTTTCCCCCCTCATCTGATTTACAGTGGACCCCTGACTTACATTCGTTCCTGAGGGCTGCATATAACTCAAGTTGATCAATTGAAGGCACAGCTTCCTCTACACAGCTTTCAAAGTCTCTCTCCTCTATACAAGCAGATCTCAATGTCCTTAGAGAGACGTTGGCCTAGGATTTCTCAATTAACCCCACACAGTAAAGGATGTTGTAAGGTTCCTTCCAGAATTCTTAAGGGTTAAATCTATATCTGAGACCATCTGGAAGCACAAGTGGCTGGCATTCAAGTCATAACTCAAGACTTTGGTCATAAGTTAAAACTTAAATTTCAATCATAACCCAAGTTGTTCATATGTCAAGCCAGTCATAACTCAAGGGTCCACTGTATCTTCGTATCCCTTGGTTTCCTAGGTCAGTATTAAATAAATCGTAATTGTTCAGTTTACTATTCTATAAAGAGAAGAAATATATGAATGCACCAAATAATACAATGTAAAGCATGCTCACCTCAAAATTTCTTAAAGAAATGGGAATTGAAAAGTAAAAAGAAGACATAGCCAGGGAAAAGGGAGAAATGTAGTGATAAAAATTTCATTTATACACATTTTATCTCTTCAACTATGACTAGAGCTTTCATTTTTTAAACTCTCCATAGCTGTTTGGGAAGCATGAAAGATCAGATGCACTTAAAATTTAAACTGTATTTTTTAATTCAAGATATACTACTAGCCATTTTGAGAGAACAAGTTATACACATGGACCAAACATAGTTACCAAAATAACTAAGGTAGAATAAAACTTATTCAAGTCTTTTTTCCTTTCATATCTACAAACTGAATTTCCACTATTCTGAACATGTTCAATGTGCTAAATGCCAGATTCTTGTCTTCCCTATCCCACATCCTGTGGATCTCTTCCAGTGACTTCAGAGGAAATTCTGTGGTCAAGCAGATATGAGTATGTACAAGAAAAAAGTGAGAGTTTCATTTCTAATTAATGTAAAGAGGATATCAATGGAACAACAAAGACATGAAATAAAAGGAAACTGGTTCATGAATGTAAATGCAGCCCTGGTACACCATTAAACACAAAAAGAATCTAAACATTTTTAAGGGGTAAAAGATGAATCTTTGATCCTGGTATAAATTTGAAAACCTTCTTACGTATTTCTTTTCCAAAGCATGAAAGCAACCTTGAATCCTGTCAAAAAATAAATGCTCAATGTCAATTTGGACCACAGATGCAAAGCCAAAAAAATTCCAGTACACAATTAGTTTATATTTTTTGTTTTAAGATATATTAAATTGATAACTTTTCTATTTATCATTTTTAATAGACTCCCAACATTTTTAGTGTATGTATAGAACTTTATAAATAATGAGCAAATTTCAGAGAGGGAATCACTTTTTCCTCCTATAATATTTAGTATACTGACATACATATAACAAATAATCAAAATTTGACTTTTTAAAAACAATTCTGGGGGTTGAACCCAGGGACTTGCATATGCTAGGTAAGTGCTTTACTACTGAGCTATCCTATCCCATTTTCCCAATCTCTCAATCTCTCTCTCTCTCTCTTTCTCATTATTTTTTATTGGATTGTGATAAATTGCCTAGATTGGCCTCAAACTTGTGATCTTTCTGTCTCAGCTTCCTGAGTAGATGGCATTACAGGTGTGCGCACCATGCCTCACTTGACTTTTTTCTTTTGGTACCGGGGATTGAACTCAGATCCTTGCGCTTGCGCAGCAGGCGGCGAAACCACTAAGCTAAATCCCCGGCCCTGACTTTTTTCTTTATATCAGTCCATTTTCTTTTAAAATCAAAACTAAATCAGTATTTTAGAATAATATTAAATAATTGCTACAAATTTCAAGGAAATTGTAAAAAGCGAGGGTGATCTTAAGGAAATGATCTTTCCAAATAAAGTTTTATGAGTAATTTCAGCCATGATAAAAATGTTGTTCAACTTTTGTGGAATTTCAGTTGCTTACCATTTGATAATATGCAGTGACCCAGGACATTTTTTGTCTTCTCGGAGAATTTTTAAACTGAGGTCTACAAAAATAGAAACACTCTATTTTCATCTACAAAATTACTGCTATACTGAAAATATCCATGCTAAACAGGATATTTCTTTTAGTTATTTTATTTATATAATTTACTTAGTTTTATGGCTTATAAAAGCATTTGTAATCTCTGTCTACTTTAAAAATAAATCCCATGTTGATAATTATCTTAGTCTTGAGGCAGAATAGAAGAAATAAAGGTGGTAGAAAGGAGACAATGAAACTAGTTTTAAATCATTTCAAAGTTATCCAAGGTTATCTATACTTTTACCCCTAGGTTTGTGCCTTCCAGGCAGATCACACCCAAATCCCTTAAAGATACTATAAGTTCATAAATTAACCTAGTTGATAAAGAAAAGGGCAATAACTTGATCTAAAGATAAAGAAACAGATGCAAATGGTTCAAAGAATGGCTTTTAGGTAACACATCTTAGTCATTCACCTTGATAAAGGATACTGCCAAGACCTATATATCCCCAGCCTCAGACCAGAAGGTATTTTACTTTTGAGCACCTGTACTAATTTTGTCTCTCAATGTACTGTACTTTGATTCTGCTTAATGAATCTGCCTATACCTCTTACTGACAGGTCCTGAAATAATTTTTCTGCAACAAGAATATGTCAGGGTGAGCTGAGGTTCCCATCTTCCCTTTGAGGGGCCTCCTTGGACTCTGAGCAGTAACAACCCCAATTTTAAAGACAGTTTATCAATCTCCTCTATATACAGTGTAGCACAATGGAGTTCCATGCAAAAATCAATTTGTGTTATTTTGTTTCTTTTCACTTCTAAGCAATCATAAAGTAGAATTCAAGGCTCTTTGACCAATTTAAAATACACACCTCAAACTTTTTTCTCCTTTTTTCCCTCTTTTTTTCCTCCCTCCCAATGAGGGGGATGGGACAGAAAAGAAAAGAAATTTTGTATGGTTTATTCTCAAATATTTATTTCACTTTCATCTGAAATCCAGCTACTTGTCTAAACTTAGGGAACAAAAGCAAGATCATATTAAAAGAGTGTTGGAGCTAGGCCTGGCGACTCATGCCTATAATCCCAGCACTCAGAAGTCTTGGGCAAGAGAATCATGAATTTGAGGTCAACATGGACTTCACAGCAAATTCAAGGCAAGCCTGAACTATATGCAGAGACTTTGTCTCAAAAAAAAAGCAAATTAAAAATCAATGTTTTGCTCAGTGGACCATATATGTGTGGTTCTATTTCTAGATTCTCTGTTTTATTCAAATGATCTATATGTCTTTCCTTACACCAACACTGCCTTGATTAC